AAGATAAGTTCTCTATAATTTTTTCAATTCACATATGTGATTTTGCCCTCATGATAAGACAAAATGGCCACGACAGATAACAGGTTAACAGTGAGAAAAAGTAGGACTAGGGGACACAAATATAAATTTTGATAAGGTAGGAGTCATCTTCAGCTAAGACAGTTTCATATTTATAATAGGGTGGTTGGCCATTGAAAAGGGTTGCCTTCAGATGTTGTAGAGGAAGTAAATTTAAGTGAGTTTAAGAAAAAGCTTCATAAGTATATGAATGTCAAGGGCTGGCTCTAAGATTTTTTTAATTTAGTTTAGAAGATGTAATATAATGTTGTCCCAAAACATTATGTTATGTTAAACGGATAATAAACAGTTAGTTTAGAAGATGTAATATAATGTTGTCCCAAAACATTATGTTATGTTAAACGGATAATAAACAGTTAGCATTACGGAATATTTCAAAGAATGTGAATTACTTTACAACACTTGATGTAAATGAAGACATTTATCCACCCCAATTAAGTTGTCCAAACCGTGTTCATAGTATGCAAAGCATGTGAATAACTTAACACTATATAAATACTTCACACTTTGAAAACAAGTCTAGTGAATGTCTGATAAGACTAAAGATTATGATGTTGAATAAAGTATGCAGCCTATTGTTTTGCTAGCAAGTCTCCCCCTGTGGTTAGTGGTTTGAATTTAGTGACAGCACCACACTACCTGGACTCCACACTGACAAACCTACTGCAAAATGACTTTTAACTGGATGGTGGAAAGCCCAGGCTAAAATCCTCTAATATATAAATCTTAAGCAGAACTAATCCACAGGTTCAAATCAGATGTATATTGATACTTTAACAAAAATGTAATAGCACTATCATTAATAAGAACTGTGATAGTTGGTCAAACTAATGACGAAAAACAATTGAGAAATTGTGAGTTTGGCAATACCACTCTTCTTTAATTTGTAACCCATTAAAGAATAATTCTCGCAGGAAAGCATCAGTCACAAGAACAGTCCATCACTGAATGATAGAAGTTAATATATACATAATTTCCAGTAGCGTGCAATACAACAACCAAATACAAAATATATCTTTCTATAAGTATTAAATGCAAATTAATACACTTACCTGTGCAAGTACTTCTATAAGTGGTTCTACCAGTCCAGAGTCTATTACAGACTGGATCTGACTATCATTTCCTGCTGTAACATTTGAGATCATCCAAGCTGCTTCCTGTGAAAGAGAAAAAAAAATTACATTAGTACCTGCAGGTTCTCCAAATATTTCTACTAAAACAATTATCTTTGAAAGCTAAAAAATGAGTTAACCACTCAATCATTATTGCAGGACTTCCTAAAATTAGGAATAGGGCACTTTCTACAATTAAGAATTTTTTTTTACAAAAAAAAAAAAAAAAATAGTTTCATCACAATATCTTACAAATGTTTCAAAGAATTAGTTGAGGACTATTCAGACCCTTGTTTAACTTAAAAATGAGCTACAAAGGAATCATGTAACAGGTCACTTTATAAACACCCACACCTTGTATTAAACCTTTATTATATTTTTGCTTACAATATTGTACACTTGAGATGGCACAGATGCCATAAAGTGCTGATGGAGTCATGTCTGATTGTGGATTACTTGTCAAGTGGTATAGTCTGTAACTGGGTCACAGATATCATAATATCAGTGGTGATTGGGTCATTCAAGTTCACATCAAAGATGTTCAATCTGAGGCTTAGAATGTTTGCTAATGAAAAGAAATGATTAATCTCGATCTCTGAATCATTTTCAGGAAGTATAAAGCAGGTGGATTGTTTCATTACTATATTGGAAAAGTTGAAATTATCAGCAATAGTATTCAGGTAATCTAGATGTTCCTGCATTACCCACACCACCACACCTCTTCCTTCACTGAACTTCTGAGCCTAAGAACCTGTAATGCTAAAATTCTGCTTTAGATACCTGTGTTGGGTATAGCATATATAGCCCATTGTGTAGCTTTATGCCAAATAAACAAATAGGCACTAACAAGAATAAAGTGGGCTGAGCAATGAAAACAATCATAAGATAGCCAACTTGTGGACAGGAACCAGTGATTATTTCATACAGAGAACAAATAGTTGATTAACAGGAAACAGATATTCAACAATGGGGAAAATATTCTATTAACTCTCTCACTATAGGCTCAGTCCCGGGGATCAAACTCAACTAATATGTGCTCGTTACAGTTTTCATGCAGTAAGCGTATCTTCACAAAATTTTTCAAATTATCAATAATCGTTATAAGGCTTTCATATATAAGATATCAGATTTTAAAGGTAATGATTTGCTCATGCATTTTTTCTTTTCAAATGTCAACTATCCAACATGCAAAGTAATTTTGATTTTAAGATGAAAAATACTTTTAAACATCTGAAAATTTTCAAACTTCACATGCAAAATCTTTAAAACCACCATAAAATATATATTTTTTTTAAGTTATTTTTACTATTTTATCTCTAACGGTTTGGTCAATTTGATTGACCTCGTAACCAGCAGAAAAAAAAAAAGGAAATAAATATATATGCATTTTTCCTTCTAGAATAACTAAAATTATAACATGGAAACACAAATGTTTAGTTTAAATAGCTTAAGTCTGATAACATTATACATCTATATACATTTATTATTTTAATGACCTTTCAGCTATGCTTGACTAACATTACAGAAGTTGCAAAGACATTGCACACGTGAGCACACGTTACCATATCCAGGAATATAAAACTGGCCTTTATAAAGTGGCCTAACTTGGCTGTGTTCCAGTATTTTGTAAAATACAGTCACATTACTACTTACAAACAAGTTTTAAATTTCAATTATTTTTCTTAAAACATAGAACAGTAAATAAAGTAATATAGAAAACAATATCTATTCAAGTTACAAACTTTGTACTTGTTTGCTGCTTGCCGTAAGTTGCTAAGCCTTATCAAACTTCGCATGTGTAGGATGCAAAATGACATTTTTTTAGGTTTTATATATGCATTTTGAAATAACAAAAAATAAAGTTACTTTATCAATACCACTATAATTTATCAAGCTTAGTAAATAAACTGTATTTGGGTCTAAAAAATATGATTTTTCAACCTCATTAATGTCCAACCTTACAGATTGGAATCTAGCATGAAAAGAAAGTTTCCTGTGCAAATACTCCACAGAGGCCGAGAAAACCACTAAGGGGACAAACTGAGCTTTTGATTAGTTATACACACACACGTCCCTGGACAAAGTAGGTGTATGTAAGCAATATTTTCAAAAATGGAAGAAATGGGTGGAACCACCTTGATTGGTTCAATAAATATATTAATATCTCAGAAAATAAAAAAAGATAGGAGGTTCTATCTTATATTCTAGTTTGTCAATATTGGTAGTTTGAGTAACTGATTCATAAGAAACTAGACCTTGTATTTTGACATCACAAACATCTAATTTGAACCAATGCTGCATTCAACATGCCATATAACACACAAAAATTGATATTTAGAACATTTTTTTTTTTTAATATTTACTTTTAAATTAAGAAA